ATAACCTAGAATACTGTCCAACACTTCATGGATGTTCTGTCAAGTCCTCGTCGTCGGTTAGGAACCTGGGTGTGCTCTTTGATACCAATCTTTCATTTGAAAGTCACGTGTCTAGCATCTGTAAAACCGCATTTTTTCATCTTAAAAATATATCTAAATTACGTCACATGCTGTCGATTAAAAATGCAGAACAATTAGTTCATGCGTTCATGACATCAAGGCTAGATTATTGTAATGCTCTACTGGATGGTTGCCCTGCGCGCTTAATAAACAAACTACAGGAAGTATAACCATATTAGCCGGTTCTGTCAACACTGCATTGGTATTTTGCACAAGTAGTTTGTTGAGGGTTGGTTTGTAAAGAAGGACTACACGCCTGCACACATATATATTCAAACGCGCATACCTATGCACTAAACGCATGATGCGCATGTGCACGCCGTCAGCGTTTTTTTTTTGTTGGGGTTTTTGTTTTCAAGGCTTGCACCTTGGAATCTATTTCAGGCTTTGCTTTCTCAAGCCACCAGGCACTGTTTTGTGCGGATGAGCGGGCCGGAGCGCGTTGAGGGTTTTCTGTTAGAACGGTGTCGTGTTAGCGGCCCTTAAGTTAATAACTAATGATCTTTGCAACAGAAGTCAATCAATCAATCAATCAATCAATCAATCAATCAAAACTAACTTTAGCTGGACAATAACTTTATTCTAGAGCTGCTGTAAAGCCAAAATAATCTCTGTTACTGTAATTTCCTATTACCACTGTAAAGCTGCTTTGAAACAATCTATATTGTTAAAAGCGCTATCTAAATGAAGGTGACTTGACTTGGCATCAAAAAGTTGGTTATTTTAACCAAAAAGGAATATAATTACCGAGACAGGCAATTTAATAGCATTTAATGAAAGATGATGACAAATTATAAAATATTTTTAGAGAACATTTTTTTTTCTTTAAAACAATGCATCCACCCTGATGTACAATATATGACCAACAAAGTAGTATATTAAAGTAAATACTATCAATTTTGGTTTCATGCTGTCTTTATACACATTTAAACTCCCTGTTTTCAAAGAGAGAGACTGCCACCACAGCACAGATCTGGCTCTATTAAATCAGAGAATCAAAGTGGTGCACTGCTTTCTCTAGAGGCTTTTCCAGGGCTCAGAGACTCTGCCTACACGGTGCCTAAACCATCTGAGCAGAGCTGGTTTCCCCCTCCACTCAGCCCAGTCCAGCCCTTCTCTGTGCAGAGCAGAGCTCCAGGGCCAGGGCATTCCGCTGGGCTGCTCCAGACCGCAGTTAAGCAGCTCCGTCTGGAGTACGTGACGGCATGCAGAGCCGCCCAAGTCCCTGCTCTCACTTTACAGTTCATCACAGAAATCATTAACACGTTTCATTCGGAGAGAGAGAGAGAGAGTATGCTAGGATATCAACACACCTAAGTTGCAAAACCTCTCTGCAATGACAATAGGGCTAAATGTCCTTTCTACGCTCAGCCTTAGGTGTCTTTTAGCTGGACATTTGCCCCTGAACACTGCCTGAAACGTAGGTACTATACGCTAGACTAGTATACTTTGCATTCTTATGGCGCTTTTCCACTGCATGGTACGGTATGCTTGGAACCTCAACAGAGGTGGAACCATTTAAAGCGAGCCATACCGAGCCGTACCATGCAGTGGAAAAGCTCCATATTAGTGTCACCGAAAGTGACTGTATTTCTGAAACTGGGGACATTTCCTCCTATCACTGAAACCTCGCTTGTTGTTATCTATGAATTTAAAAAACGGGGACAGTAGTAATATATATATAGTCACAATACATTTATAACATAAATAGTCACACTCAATACATTCGGGTACAGGACCCATAAAACTGTCCCTGGAAAATGAGGACGTCTGGTCACCCTGAAACCACGAGGGGCGCTATAGCGTGATAGCGTAAACAGTCTTCTTTTGCAGTATCTTTCAGTTTGAAGAGAATCTTTCAAGTTAAAGTTAAAAAAGATAAAGTTTGTTTTCCGCAGCTTACATGAATAACACTTTCGGTTTAATGGCACAGACATGTGAAAGTAACTCTAACGTCCCCCAGAGTTTGATACCGCCAGAACAAAGTAAGAGCGCACGTGACGTATGTTTTACTTGACAACGCGTTACCCAAGCGCTCGCGAGTTTGCATGATCAATTCTTTTTACTTAGAGGAATTTATTGTCTTTTTAAAGTCATAGGGTTGAAAATATATTTTTTTAATAAAATGGAATAATTTCTTCCAAAAAAAAAATTCCCCATCAACCTTGTCTATAGGCAAATGAAGTTCTGTGGAGGCTTCCTTCATGCAGTTGTTACCTTAAAGGGAGAGTTCACCCACAAATGAAAATTCTGTCATTTACTCACCCTGAAGTTGTTCCAAACCTGTATGAATTTCTTTCTTCTGCGGAACACAAAAGAAGATATTTTGAAGAATGTTTGTAACTAAACAGTTGATGGGCCCCATTGACTCACAATCCATAGTTTTTTTTTCTCCATACTATGGAAATAAACTGTGCCCCATCAACTGTTTGGTTCTCATTAGAGTTACAAATGCTCTCATTAGAGTTACAAATGATTTGCTGTTATCATCCGATCGTGGTTGTATCTCTCTATTAGTGTTACTGGATCTTAGTGCTGCATTTGATACTATCGACGACCACAACATTCTTTTAAATAGACTCGAAAATTATGTTGGCATTAGTGGAATTGCATTAGCATGGTTCAAATCATACTTGTCTGACTGTTATCAGTTTGTAGCAGTAAATGAAGAGATGTCATATCGATCACAAGTTCAGTATGGCGTACCACAAGGCTCAGTACTAGGACCGTTGCTGTTCACTCTGTACATGCTACCCTTGGGAGATATCATTGGAAGCATGGCATTAGTTTTCGCTGATATGCTGATGATACTCAGCTCTATATTTCTTTGCGCCCTGATAAAATTGACCAATTCGCAAAATTAAAGGAATGCATAGCTGTTATAAAAAATTGGATGACTAGTAATTTCCCTTCTACTTAATTCTGAAAAAAAAACGATATTCTAATTATTGGACCAAAAACCTCTGCACATAATAACCTAGAATACTGTCCAACACTTGATGGATGTTCTGTCAAGTCTTGGTCGTCGGTTAGGAACCTGGGTGTGCTCTTTGATACCTCTCTTTCATTTGAAAGCCACGTTTCTAGCATCTGTAAAACCACATTCTTCCATCTTAAAAATATATCTAAACTATGACATATGCTCTCAATGACAAATGCGGAACAGTTAGTTCATGCGTTCATGACCTCAAGGCTAGATTATTGTAATGCTCTACTGGCTGGTTGCCCTGTACGCTTAATAAAAACAAATTCCAGCTGGTCCAAAACGCAGCAGCTCTTGGTTCTTACCAGAACCAGGATGTATAACCATATTAGTCCGGTTCTGTCAACACTGCATTGGCTCCCTATTAAACATTGTATACATTTTAAAATCTTGCTAATTACTTACAAAGCACTAAATGGTTTCGATCTCAAAAAATCTGGCCAGTTGAGAATACTTAGAATATCAAAATCAACTACTGGGGGTAGATCCTTTTCCCATATAGCACCTAAACTCTGGAACAGTCTTCCTAGCATTGTTCAGGAAGCAGACACACTCTGTCAGTTTAAATCTAGACTAAAAACACGTCTCTTTAACATGGAATACACATAACACATTTTACAATTTCTATAATTCACATCATGTAAAATGATTGTTAGGCTGGATAAATTAGATCAGCCAGAACTAGGAACACTTCCCATAACACCTGATGCACTCTGTTTATCCCAAGGTTTACCGTAGTCAGCTGTATCCGGGCCGTATCCAGATCAGATGAAGGACCTGTGTAGACCACAACACAGCCCTGAAGTGTCAGCAGAGAGTCAACTACACTATCCCCTGCAAAGGCCTCCTCGACCTCCTCCCCTTCCCTTTCCCTCTGTACAGATGAAAACGTTATCAAAATGATTCCCGTTCACATGGATCCGCAGACACGACTAAAAACGCTGTATTATGCATGCCAGACAAGTAATTGGCAATGTCACTTTGTAAAGAAAGACTACACGCCCACACCCATATGCATTCAAACGTGCATACCTATAGACTAAAGACGTAATATGCATGCCTTTGCCGTTTTCACAGATTCATGTTTTTGAAGTTTACACGAAGATGATAACGGTATTGTTACGCATAAAACTTGCACTGTGAAACCTACTTCAAAATTTGCATTCTCAGGCCACCAAAACTTCGTTGTCGTGTAATGAAAAGCCAGAACGCATTAAAAGTTTTGTTTTCAGTTGAAAAGGGTATCTAATGACTAATGATTTTTTACAATGGGAATTAACCAATCAACGGACAATGACTTTCTTCTAGAGCTGCTGTACAGCCAACAATTTATGTTCCATTAATTTCCTATAATCACTGTGAAGCTGCTTTGAAACAATCTGTATGATTGCTCGGTGACTTGACTTCCCACTGTTTAAATCATTCTTACAATCCTGACAGTTGTCATAAATCACAGAAAGATGTACAGGCAAGAGCGTATTATGTAAACAAAGCAGTCTATTGTGAACGCTTGTCATTACATCAGAAATTCTGAATGCCAAGAAACTGCTGCTTTTGGTTGGGTGTCGAGTTGGCATTAACACAACAAACTTTTTTGGCTCTCAAAAAGATTTACATTACACGCAGCTCTCTCTCTTGCCAATTTGAGCAATTAGCTAAAAAATCGAAACGAAACAGCTTCACCACCTTCTGCTATGTTTTTAAAGTGAAATACTATTATTCAGAGCATGTTGCTTAAATGTACAGGAAGAGGAAAGAGATTTGTGTATTATTACGATTAAATTAACAAGAGGATAACCAGATTTGACTGTTTGGGTTAATGGTGCAGAAAAATATATTTTCGATAATTCCAGGTTCCTTGTTTTCACTGTAACACTGCACCAATATACATCATTAGTGTCATACAATACTACTTATTTGCTCACACAATGTATTATTTATTTTCTTTAAAAATACAAAGATACCTCTAAACATCAATATTTCATTATTAAAAAAGGACAAACATAAGTGATAGATACATAACACGGATGTTATTAATATGAAAAGCCTCTCAGCACGGAAACATCAAGTCTCAGCACTAACATACAGAAATGACCCTAAAATACATACATGGTAGAGTAAACCAGCAAAGCACAAACCTGAGCATTAAAAGTAAAGGCACCAGAGTTTTTCTCTCACATAAAACACAAAACATAACTTTGCTTTTAGGTTGCATTGTTGATTAAAGTGCAAACCAAGCACATTGTGAATGAGACACATCTTTTGTCTTTATCAAAGAGGATCATTCGCTAAGGCAACTCGACTGTACATCTATATATTTTCGAATATACAACTCCCTTGTGCAGCCCATTTAGTGGTTTTCCTCTTTGGAAATCATTAAACACCTCAACAGTGTAACATTGCCCTTGACAAACCACAGTATAAAAGCTGAATACTTCGGTGTTGATCATTGTTCGAATGACAGAAGCACTGAAATATAAATATAAAAGCACGATTGAATCGCATACATGATGCTTTCTCTGGCACTATGATACCATTCCACAAAAATGGAAAACTGTCATTCATGAGACCGCAGAAATGTTCAGAAATGTCCGTGTTCTTTGATACCAACCACAGCTGAAACCAAAACCACCCGAAACACTGACAATGAAATTGTTCAGCATGAATGTGTCTCGGAGAAAACAGAGTTTGTTTTGACACTACAAAGAAGATCTTATTAAGCTTAAACTGCCCATGAATCCTGGAGGAAACATCTGTCTCGAGCAGAAAATGTTCTGAGGTGGCGGAACATCTCAGGCTGTTGAAACAAAATTCATAAGTGAAACGGTATGTTTAATAAAACCCCTTATTATGTCCAATCCTGCTCTTCAAAGTCTTAGTGCACGCTGCAAGGCATTCTCCTTCGAAAATGAGTCGGTTGATGCTCTTCCTCTATTATTTTAGAGTCTCTTTCACTTTCACGAAGGCGTAAGCAACATATTCAAGTATTCAGACTACTGACACTCCTTGAGAGGTGGCGGTGAGGGCGGTGATGATGTCCGGCCGCTCGATGCGTGCCAGAGCGGAGCAGAGCAGGCCCAACGTTGACCCTTCCTGTTGGGCCCAATCAGTTAAGAGGGTGTGGATGGGGTCCTGGCCCCGTCCAAAGACGTCCACACGGTCCTGTTCGTAACCGAGCGTGGCGGCCAGCTGCCTCCAGCTCCGACTGCCCCCCTCTGCGAGAAGCCCCTCTACCTCCTCCTGCCTGTGGGGAGGCAGGTTCACATAAAGCCGCGTGTCCTGTTTGCTGTCCCGTTTGCTGCCTGCCGAGAGCATGAGAAAGCGATCAGATAATTACTAATCAGCCATTTAGCAGACACTTTTAGTAAAAGCAACTTACTAAGGCCCGGTTTACACCTGGTATTGAGGTGTGTTTTGGTTGATCGGATGACTTACTGACCTAACGCGTAAACTTTATGAGAAGCACGCTAGCCAGACAGGATTTAAAGTTTGTTGGCTGGAGACCCAAGTTTTGTTTGAAGACGAAAATGCACCAAGCACAATGTTCTCTCACCATTCCTGATTTCTAACACGCACTCACAGCGTTCGGTGTGGTCTTGCGGCTGTCAGAGCAGAAGCGAAAGCTGTTGCTCTCCGTGTGTTTTTCAGTCGTCTCCGGGCGCACTTATATGTAAATTGCGCAAACTTATTTTGTCCACTAGATCGAAAGATCTGAAAAACCAACACATAGACCCTCTCCTCGAAGAAATCAGGACAGAAGTGCTTGAAAGTGGACAAAAAAGACGGATTAAAGGTGCGTTCACGTGCTATGGTAATTATGGTAAATACCAAAAGCCGACGTGGAAAATGCACATGAACACCCCCTCGTGTGGTATTTTCCACTGGGCAGCTCGTAGAATATTTTGATGCACGAGTTGCCGAGATGAGATAACCTTTGACCTTTTCAAAATGGCGGAGAGCAACGCGAGAGTCGTGAATGGTAAAAATTTGTACTATTCATAATCTAGAAAATATACAGCATATTATTTACCGTTTGAGTTTTGATAAATCATTTTATTGCTGTAGCAGATGACTTAAGCAATCTAAAATAGTTTTAGCTAAATAACAGGTCTGGATCTCCATCTTTTTACCACATTACGACAACAAAAGCACTTGAACGCAACACACTGGTAAATACAAGTTCACAAGTGGAAAATATAATATTTTCCATAACACGTGAACGCACCATAAAATACCAGGTATAAACGGGTATGTGTCTCCCTCGTCTACTTGTGATCCGTTTGACCAAAACGCATCTTAATACCAGCTGTAAACAGGGCCTAAGAGTGACAATACATCCAAATACATGCAAAAACAAACATTCACCATAACCAGTGTAATCGAATTGTCCAACAAATGACTCTTTTGAACCGATTCTTTTTAGTGAATCAAAAACAAATTGTGCGACCAATGTAGCTGGATTTATGTTGTCTTATGAACTGGTTATTTTTAGAGAATAAAAAAAAAAAAAAAAAAAAAAAAATCCCGCACAACCATTGTAGTCTGATGATTCCCAAAAAGAGTCTTAAAAGTTGGATCTTTTAATAAAAAAAATGAATAAATAGAACAAATGACTTAGCAAGTTATTTTAATGAACAGTTCAAAAAGACGAATGAATAGTACAAATGAATCTTATGAGATGGTTCCTTTAATCAACAGTTCAAAAAGATGAATGAATAGTACAAATGACTCGTTTAAGCTGGTTGTTTTAATGAATAGTAAAAAGAGACGAATAAATAGTACAAATAATTCTTATTAGACGTTCAAAACAGCAAATGAATAGAACGAATGACTCTTGTGAGTCAGTTCTTTAAATAAATAGTTTTAAGTTTGCGGTCTTGATTTCTAGAATCAAGTCAAATCAGGAAACCTGTATGGATTCTCAGCCCTAGACAGTGTATGTGTTTAAGCGGTTCTCTCATACCTTTGCTGGGCTGGCTTTCCTGAAGGCTTTGACAGTCCAGGAACACGCCACTGTCGCTGTGTAATTTCTCTCCTTCCCCGGCATTATTCAACTCGCCAACCCGTGCTTTCACCAGAGCCTGCTTCTGCTGACATGACTTCCAGCTGAACACACACCCCCAATCACACACTTATTATATACAGTAAAAACCTACAAGAATAATATTTCACTCAACAGACACATTATGGTATTCTATATCTTACATATACAAGTAGAATGAATTTGTAAGTAAATCCTCTCGTAAAGCATAGTTTTTCTTCTTGAAACCGCTATATGACCTCACCATTTGTAGGCAACGTAGAGCAGGAGGCCGAGCACCACTGCAGCCAGTACAGACACGTAGACCAGGATGTTGTTGTTGCCCCCTTGATCCTGTGGTGTGAGTCGAGGGGATCCGGACCCTGGTGCTGGGCTGCTCCTGTTCTCGGTTTCATCACTCAGAGTCGGCCATCGGGGAAATTCCCGCGGTACATCAGAACCAGATGGCCGGGACAGGATGCTGAGGTCTTTTACTGCAAAAAGAAATCTAACAGAATAAATCATTTTGAACTGGCTTTATATATACAAATGAGATATTGAAATACCAGTAACTTTTATATATACTACCGTTCAAAAGATTAAAAAAATAAATAAAACAATTTTATTCTATAAGGATGCATTAAATTGATAAAAAAATGATAGTAAAGACATTTATAATCTTTCAAAAGAATTCCATTTAAAATAAAATCTGGAAAAAACTGTTTCACGGTTTCCCAAAAAATATTAAGCAGCACAACTGTTTTCAACATTAATAATAAGAAATGTTTCTTGAGCCGCAAATCAGCATATTTAACATTTTTTACTATATTACTGTATTAAAAAAAGCAGCCTTGATGAGCTAAGAGACTTTTTTCAAAAACAGTTTACCGACCCCAAACTTTTAAACAGTGATATATACAATATATATTAGGGGTGTGACAAGATCTCGTGCCACGAGATCTCGCGAGACTAAAATGTGACGAGATTTCCCGTCGTGTGAAAAGCTGTCTCGCGATATCGCCATGGCGTAGCGTGAGGGTGAAATAAGCATAGAATATTCAGCCGCTACACTCAGATTCGCCTCAACTGAGTGCAGCATTGCGCTTAATAAGACTAAGAGAAAACTGTTATTCATTTTTGATATTTATACTGTTTTTATTTCTATGTTCAATTTTTGTAAAGTCGTTCAATTAGGTCACACACAGCCTCAATCAGAAGTTCTGAAAGCACATAAATGTACAGTAAGGTCTGAAGAGACTCGTGTGAAATCATACAGGAGAAAAGCCAGTCAGTAAAAACCTTTTACAGTGGTTGCATATAGGCCTATGTCACACTTCTTGCTTCCGGAATGCGGAGTAGGGATTCAGAACTTCCGGTCAACAGTATTTCTCGATAAGGATTTAGATTATCAGCCATAAACCATCCGAGGTAGACTGACCACGAGCTATGAGGTTGTGAAACAAAGGTTTTTGCTCCTTTAGAAGCTATAAGTTCGTATGAAATCAACCTTGTTTTAAGAAAAACATGTTTTATCCGCGATCTTATGAAAAAAATACACTACCCACAATCCTAAGCGTAGCAGCAACGTCTGCTGATTGGTCCAACTCACTGTTACCATAGAAACGTTTACCTTACTGGCGAACGACACCCGCAGCTGTTGTTGTAGTGTACCGGGTGGCTCTGCATCAGGACGTAGACAGCCACACCTCAGCTTTCACGCTTTCCCGAAGGACGAAACACTCCGCAAGTCTCGGGTTAGGTTAATAAGGAGGGATGAGGGGCCTTCTTTTAATATTCTCCGGGGCAGCACTTTCGTTTGCAGTTTGCATTTTGAAACTGTTTGTGGAAGGCAGGTCTCGTTTCCAACTGATGTTCTTGAGTGATCCTCAGATCAACTGAATTAACATCACACAGAAATGATTCAGTGTGTGACACATTGTGTGAGTGTGAGAGTGTGTGTGTGTATTAGCAGTGATTGTTAGTGTCCAGCAGTCATGAGTTTGATTCCCAGAAAAGAAATGAACTGATGTGAAATTATCCCTGTAGCTCAATACTAATTGGTGAAATTGGCAATGTTGCAAACTCTCCCCAGTCTTACTTTATACTTTATAATATAACTTTGAGTTTAATTATTTTACAGTATAACAATAGAAGATTTGGTCCAGCGGTATCTATCGGACTAGGAAAAGCTAACCGGATGAGCCGTATCCCTACTAAAAGACGTACTTCCGGTCTTAAATTTTTTCGTGACATAGGCCTATTGTTTTCTTTCAATGCATTTGATAATTCATACTCATAAAGTAGACCTGAAATTACATGCATTAGATTATTAGTTAAAACATTTCAAAATGCACCTGCATACTATTTTTTCAGTTAAGAATTTTGTCATTGAGGATTTCTGAAAATTTTGCAAAAGTCTCATCTCGTTCTCGTAAACCCAATCTCGTGTCTCGTCTCGTGAGATACGTGTCTCGTCACACCATAAATATATATATATATATAAACTGAATAGATATAATCTGAAAAATGCATACATATATACTCCTCTGGTAGTTGAACTAAATGAGTAGTTGTGCAGTCTTCATAAAGAAAAGTGAAACTCATTAGACTCACAATAGTTAGACGTTTGAAGCACACTCAAGTACCCCCTAGAGCATTCAATCACCTAGATGGCAAAAAAATGCAGATGCTCATTTTAGCCTTCACGTGAAACCCACATCTGACACACATCTGCTGTGAGTGATTAACACATCATCAGTGTGTGCAGGCACAGCTGACAGACTAAATACCAGATCGAAATGTTGAAAAGTGTGGAATGGTCAGGAGGATTCATGCCTCCCACCCTCCATCCTGAAATAGATCGTGCAGGCGAGGCCACCCCACACACACTATCACACAGATGCATGCATTCTTTTGTCCACTCACTCTCTCTCTCACACACACACACACACACACACACACACACACCCCACAGGCTGCCTGTGCGGATCAAACACTCAGTGTGGTTGCCCTGACCTCGGCAGGTCAAGTGGTCTAACTGGTCACTCCACCCTGCAGAGAACAGAGGGCGACGTGGGATGCGACCCACTAACCAGCTGGTTAACCTCCAAACCGATTTAACACACCTCAGGCCATAGTTTAACACACAATCCAACGCGGACATGCCACTTTTTAAATGACAGTTTATAAAAAATAAATAAATAAATAAATAAATAAAAAAGGCGAAACAATTTAATATTTGATCTAACAAAATCTATGTGACGTGTTTATCTTCTTAATCTGATCATGACTGGATTGTTGCTAAGATCATTGAAGAATGAGCAGAACATCTGAAGTCAAAGTGAAAGCTGCATTTTCTCAAAAGCTTCTCTCTGACTGAACACAGGTGTCAGCCACATGTTAAAAATCTAACCATACACACTCACACACACATGCATAAATGTTTTTATATATAGCTTGGCACAAACTTCAGCCACAACACACATGCATATCGGGTTACGTTCACACACAGTCAGTGTTAATGACAAATAAAAGGTCCGAGATACAGGAAAAGGAAACTTCTTTTAAAAATCTAGTTCAAAAAGCAGGTCAAGTTCTTAGAAATGTACTCATGCTTTATATTCATGCTGGTTTTAAAAAACATTTATACCATTTTTGACAAAACAATAAGTACTAAGTTGTATTTTTCCTTACACCATGAATACATGGGAGTGCACACATTAATCATTATTTAAAGGGGTCATATAATGCCATTTTCATACAAGTTAATTTGATTCTTTAGGGTCTAAATGAAAAGTTTGTAATATACTTTAATTAAAAATTCTCATTAGTATTGTAAGAAAACACTAATTTTACCTGGTCAAAAACAGCTCTGTTTTCAGCACGCCGTTTCAGTGCATGTGTCTTTAAATGATAATGAGCTTATCTCACTCCGCCCCTCTGTTCTGCGGGCGTTTTGACTGGTTTTGACCATATACTGTAAAAAAAAAGGTTTTGACACAACGCACGTGGAGTGTTGCCTTGACAACAGTTGAGGGTATATTTTGGAGTAAGAATGGCAGCGGGAGTCTCTGAGGACACATCTGTGCAACCATATCAATTTGAACCGGAGTCGCACCCGGAACAAGATGACGGCCGCAAAGAAGTTCGACAATTAAGGCTCGAACAGGACGTTTCTGAATGGTTGGTTAACGTAATGTCACTTTGATCTATCTTTGTGTACTGGCAGGGTAGAGTAACTTAGTGAGATGTACGAACGCTAACGTTATGTGTTTACTGATGTATACGTACTCAGTTTGTAATAACACAATAACCATAACTCCAAACTCCGTTGTTCCAGGGTTTCTGCAGGTTTCACAAAGTCAAATTTAAGACTTTTTAAGACCTTTTTAAGACCATTATGAATTAAATTTAAAGGTGACCTATAATTCAAAATTGAATTTACCTTGGTATAGTCAAATAACAAGAGTTCAGTGCATGGACATGACATAGAGTGAATCTCAAACTGGACTGTTTTCGCGTTCTCATTTAATTCACGTTTATGAAAAACACCCCTGAAAAACGGTCGGTTCTCCACACAATACCGACTGTGACGCAATAGTCGGGATCATTAATATGTACGCCTCCAAATATTTGCTTATGCCAGCCCTCAATGCCAGGCGGAACTGCGCAGCCGAAGCATGGCAGTTGCTCAGTGTGGATGTACACATGAACACAAAAGTATTTTTTTAGTTCCTTCATCTGAGCCTCTGAAGAAACAATGGGTTAATTTTATTTTCTCTGGAAATTTTCAAACATTTCACCGACTGTTTCCTCAACTTGGGCCAATACAGAGCTGGCCTCGGATCGAGCTACCAAGCAACACTTTCTGATGTGTAATTGTTCAAGTTCAGACAGGTAATCTTTCTCTCAAAATCGTTCAATACTGTTTATGCATCAGTAAGTCAAGCCAGTGACTAAAATATCAGCTTCACATCGTTTCTTTTAGTAGGATGAAAATAATCGTATTTAAATTGTGAACAAATTATATACAGAAAGCGATCAAAGAACAATCTTTCCACACAGCGCGAGTTTGACACTTACCAAACTCGTTATGAAATCAATGACGCACGTTACTGCACAACGAAGCTCTTACTGTATTTACATCATCGTGTGTGCATTGGTGAAAGCTTTAGAGAGTGCAGAAACTGCTTTGCAATGATAAGATCTTCATTCTCGCGATCAACAGACTGTCATCTGCTCAATGCTCATCACGGCAACATTTTATGTGATGGGAATAGATCGAAATACTTTAATTAAAAACATCTCACGATTCGTTAATCTCGATAGCTGTTATAGTAAAAACGTATAATAGCAGTAGTAAAAGTATTCGAGAGAGTTTCACATGTAATGCGTAGCTATTTCACATGCAAGCATGTCAGCCAATCACAGCAGTGGCCGCGGTTACACTGAATCCCACAGCAGACACGCCCCTTCAAACAGAGTGTTCAAATCAGAGGCTACAAGCAGGCTAGGAAAAATGCCATTTATTTCTAAATTATGATTATTTTTGATCTAAAAAACATACTAACATTATAAGGGCAACCCAGGAAACATTATAAAATAATAAAAAAAAACATTCTAGGGCACCTTTAAGACCTATATGTCACGACATAAAATAAAAAAACGTACAAAGGAAACGCAGAGTCTCAAAATTACTTGCAAAGTAAATTAATTTATTCAAACTGAACAGTACTGAAGACAGCTTAGAATTTAGATGGATGCACAAAGCTGATTGGCTGTTGCATGTTGGTCTATTTTGTAGTCGTAATTAAAGTGAATTATATTTGGACTAGCGAAATAAGGAACTATATTTTAGACTTTTTTAGACTTTTTAAGACCCCGCGGAAACCCTGTGTTCATTATAAACGTGGGATTATGAATTATATTGAGAACGTCGTACATAGAAAACATGCCGTAATGTACCCTGAGTGTAATCCTTAGTCCCATTCATCGTGAAGCGTGCAAGCGATTTGCAAAGATTAATATAAAGGTTAATACAATTTTACACTCACTTCTTCTGGAGTTGCAGCAGAAACATGAATAGTTGGTACCGATTCTTTTTTCAGGAGCAGCTTCTTAGCAAAACCAGCTTTATACTGATCCTCGTTTATAAAGCAGTCTGGTGGGAAAAGATTCGCGAATCACGCAAACATGAAAGCATTGACGTTGCTCATGGGGAATATTCTCAAAACTCAGCCACTGCGTCTTCAGCGGTTCAGATTTAGGAACATCAAAATGACTGCTGTGTTCGTTATTACACCCAAGAACAGAACACCACAACCGCTTAGACGCCATTCTGCTCCAGCGTATCAACAATGACGGACTTTGATGACAGCTCGCTCAGGGCGGGTCTGTGTTGAAACGCTGCTGTCAATGAACAATCGTCGGAGGGGCGTCCGACCGTGTGACGTCACACGGTCGAACGGCTCGATTTGAGGCAGGGGAAAACATATAAGGAGATTAAAACAAAAACACTGGATAGATTTTTATCATTATATGATGGTTGTGTACAGGCACTGCCAACACACATTTCAGTACAATCAACTTGAAAAAGTATGTAAATATGTAAAACAAATTTTTTAAACGATATTATATTTGTTTCAAACTAAACTGTATATTTTACAAATTCCATGAATTCTATATTTATAAATATCATTATGTTATTAGGGGTTTATACCATATTGTAATATGTATATATATATATATATATTGAACTTACCTTGTCATGTTATAAAAAGGTCAAATAATCTAACATTTTTGCTAATATGATATTGTCTGTAGGGGCAGGCTCTATGATATATACCGTATATATTTTTTGTTTTATGTATTTTGATCATATGACCTGTTTTTCAGTTTACAGAAAAATGTTTTTTAAATATTTATAATATTTTAACACAACAGTTGCACAGTTTTTAATGAAATAATAAAATATGAACGGCAAATTACTTAAGGTTATCTTTTCATCCTTTTAATAAGGGTTTTGTCTTCATTATGATATCAGGACGGTTGAATCACCCTGTTTTAAGGGCTGCACGATTTGGGAAAAACTAGAATTTAATGAACAAAACACTCACCCATACAGACGGTGTCAGAATCCGGCTGGCAGGATCTGATCTCCACCTCTTCGTCACTACAGCGCGAACATGGCACGCAGGGTTTCCAGTCGCTCCTCTCCCTTGAGTAAGTCCCTGGTTTACACCGCTCACATACGGTATTTCCCAGCGGACCACATTCCCGAGCCACTCCACTTCCATGCACACACATGCTGCAGGCCGCGCACAGCGAGCTTGTGCTGTTTCCATCCCGCCACAGGAAGAAACCCTCACCGCAGTCACACTGGGTATCCTGAGTGAGCGTGCAGCGAGCCAGTTCAGGAATGCCAGAAGGGCAGCGGGCGCACAGTCGACAGGCTGAAAGACTCTCAGAGTCTGAGAACGACACGCCTGGGAGAGATTTAAAGTGATGATTTTTATCAAGAATATGAATGTAAACATTTGCAAAAAACAACAAAACTCACATTTAGGCATTTATTCAAAGTGTGTTTTAAAAACACTCACCATCTTTACACGGCTTACACTTGGTGTCTTCCTGGCCGCAGTTGGTTGCCAAGCCAGAGCCCGCAGGACACATGCTGCAACATTCTCCTGTTTTTGTGAACTGCTCACTGATACAGACCTTGCCAAAAGCCACCTGCAAAACATACAAGCACATGTCAAATTCAAATTAGCAAGAATAATTCAATGGAATGTGTAGCATTATTTTGCTCTCAGCGACATAAAAGACAACCCTAGGACACAGAATGACTGTCATTTTTTGGAACTCTCTCAGTCTCTCTACTGAGGACGTCACCAGAGCAGAAACAAGAAGATATACTGATCTTCAGCCAGACAGTTATGTTCAAAGAATGTGTGGAATAAATACAAAACTGTAAAAACCATATAAATGGTGATTATAAAGATTATAGGTAAAGAAGATTATAAAGTTCTAAACAATATAAGCCTGGTGGAGTACATCTTCATTAAGAGACTGACACTGACATATGTGAAAGGGGCGCTATGTTTTCTAACACACACACACACATACACAAACACAATTTTGCATTATAGATATTAGAACAGTAATATTATGTTTAGTTTAGTTTAGTTTAGTTTAGTTTATAATGACGTGGACAGTCCCTTTTGATAAAAAGAGTAGTTTTAGCCTCTACGGCTAATTTCCAGCTGTAGTCCCTGGCCAGTTGTCAATAGGCATACATCAAATAAAATACATTACATAACCGTTAAAGTGCACTATATGGAGAAAAATCCTGGAATGTTTTCCTCAAAAACCTTAATTTCTTTTCGACTGAAGAAAGAAAGACATGAACATCTTGGATGACGTGGGGGTGACTAAATTATCAGGAAATTTTAATTCTGAAGTGAACTAATCCTTTACGGAGTCTGTGTGACTTTACCACCCCAATTGGGGTATAAATACTAGTGACTGCGTGTAACAACACACCCTTTCAAACAACTATAAAATACGTTATTAAGAATGAGGCGGTTAGAGCGTGACTAGGGGATGTTTAAAAAGACTCCTCGTTCATGGGAATGGAACATTATGTGTATTTGCACCCAGTTCAAACAGAGGCATCAGCAGTGAGGACAGCGGTGCAGCTCGAGACCTCAGGGGAGGGTGTGATGTGTGTGAGTGCGTCTGTTTGGGTAAGAGAAAAGACTTTGATGTTCCCGCAGCTCTGCAGGTGTGATAGAGGAGGTCAGTTCTGCGGCATCTTAAACATGCATATGTTTAGGAAAATTACCCCCCACACACCCCCTCTGCTTCCCAACTGCCCCCTGGGGCTCTGACAAGAGCCAACAGATGCCTAACATGTAAAGCTCCTCCAAAGAGGGAAAGCAAAAACCCACACAGCCTCTCTGATGTCTCGCTCTTCTTCTCTCTGATCTCTGTTGGGACAAGAGAGCGTGTGTAAACCTGTTGAATGAGCGCACAAGCTCATAATCTCATTTAAACACTAATACACATTTGTACACAGCAGCCCACAGGGCAACAACCTTCACTTTGTGAGTAAAAAGAGCACCTTTATTCTGCATTTCAGCCACACTTGCCTATTGTTGAAACACCAGGATCTTTGCAAAGAAGTAAAGCTGAGTAGCGATTAACCAAATATTCAATACATTGAAAGGGACTGAATTTAAATGTTTAAGAATGTGCCATGTAAAAAATCCCATATTGTTGAACCACAGATTTTGATATTAAGGAAATGCCTCCTCGATGTCCATGGTAGTTGAAGTAATAAATAAATAAATAAAGTAAATAAATAAAATATATATTCCGTTCAAAGGTTTGGGGTCAGTAAGATTTTAGTTTTTTTAAAGAAATTATTACTTTTATTCAGCCATTTTGATCCTTCTATTCATGAAAGAATCACAGTTTCCACAAAAATATTAAGCAGCACAACATTGATAATAATCAGAAATGTTTCTTGAGCAGCAAATCAGCGTATTAGAATGATTTTTGAAAGGATCATGTGACACTGAAGACTGGAGTAATGATGCTGAAAAATTCAGCTTTGCCATCTCAGGAATAAATGACATTTTAATATATACACTGCCGTTCAAAAGTATGGGATCGGTACGATTTTTAATCTTTTTAAAAGTAGTCTCTTATGCTCACCAAGGCTGCCTTTATTTGATTAAAAATACAAAACACCCCCAGTAATATTGTGAAATATTACAATTTAAAAGAACTGTTTTCTATTTGAATATATAAAATATAATTTAATCCTGATGCAAACCTGAATTTTCAGTAGCATTACTTCAGTCTTCAGTGTCACATGATCCTTCAGAAATCATTATAATACGCTGCTTTGCTGCTCGAGAAACATTTATTATTATTATCAATGTTGAAAATAGTTATGTAAAAAAAATAAAATCAGGATTCTTTGAAGCTTTGCATCTCAGGAATAAAATACATTTTAAAATACATTCAAATAGAAAACAGTTATTTTAAATTGTCATAATATTTAACAATATTACTGTTTTTTTGTATTTTTTTTGTATTTTTAATCAAATGCAGCCTTGGTAAGCATAAGAGACTTCTTTTAAAAACATTAAAAATCTTACCGATCCCAAACTTTTGAACGGTAGTGTATATTCAAATAAAATAGTTATTTTGAATTGTAATAATATTTCACAATATTATAATATCAAAAAAAAAAAGTCTTGGCAAGCATAAGAGACTGAATTATTGAAAAATCTTACAAACCCAAAACTTTTGAACAGTTCTATAGTACCTGTCCAAAGTTGGGAAACTGTTGTTTTTAAGATGTCTCTTATGCTTGCCAAGGCCACATTTATTTCTTCAAAAATACAGTAATGTTAAATGTTTCACAGGAATAAATTACTTTTAAAATATATTCAAAAAGAAAACAGTTATTTTAATTTGTAATAATATTTAACAATATTATTGATGTTTTTACTGTATTTTTGATTAAACAAATGCAGCCTTGGCATTCCTAAGTAAACTTTTGACAGGTACTGTTTGAATTAAAACTAATTGGAAAAAGCTTTTGGGGGAGGGGTCCTATAAATAAGTATACATTATTTCTTGAAAAGATGGGTATAGACAGAGACATTTCTGAGCAGTACCATTGGAATGCACAGTTTTCCTAATGTGGTGTTTAATACTAACCAAACAAAGTAAGCTGAGGGGAACTTAACATCCTCAATGATGACAATATCTCACCATATAATTTGTACCTAAGTCTAGCTAAATAGAATGTACAAAGTGGGGACAAATGATATATCACTACACCCATAAACATTTGGGCAGAGCAGGAATGTAGTGCTCTGAGGAGGGACGGGGGTGGGCATGAATACAGACACGTCAGTGCTGATTCCACAAGAGAGATAATGCATATGAATGAAACGAATTCACACAAAACATCTTTGATCTACCCAAACATTTCGTTCCCTTTTCTGAGAGACAATGTCAGTCTAGATGCCACACTTCATAATGCCCCACACACTGAATGATGGGGTATTTCGTAAAGGGATAGTCCACCCAAAAATGTTAATTCAATCATCATTTAATAGTCCTTCCAAACCTGTATGGCCTTCGGGACACAAAAAGAAGATGTTTTAAAGAACTATTTTTGTCCATTCAATGAAAGTCAGTCGGGTCAAAAAGACAACATCGTACCCCATTAACTTTCATTGTATGGACAAAAACCGTAGAGACGTTTTTCAAAATATCATCTTCTTTACAGAACAAAGAAAGTCATACTGATTTGGAATGACATGAAGGTGAAGTAAGCAGGGGTCCAGACTAACTTTTCCACTGGTTGCACTGGTGCTACCAACTTTCTCAGTTGGTCGCACCAGCATATGATTTGGTCGCACCTTTTTTTTTTTGCTACATGCCATGGGGTTAATCAATGCATGCTGATGAATAGTGGTTTTAATGGACCAAGGCTAGCAAAGGCTTTCTGGGTTGCAGCATAAATACCTGTAATATATTATATTAAAAAAAACACATGTAATATATGATAATTATCATTGCCAAATTTCAGGATTTTCGTGGATTTTGGACAGTAATTTTAATCTGTAATTTTAAGCATTTTACATTTGAATTATACACTCTAAAAAATGCTGGGTTGTTTCAACCCAAATTTGGGTCTAATATGGACAAACCCAAATGTTGGGATGAAAATGTAATAAAAAAAAATTACAGTTGGAAGTGAAAGTTGAAGTTGGGTTGAAATTTTTAATTACATTTTTAACCCAACATTTGGGTTTGTCCATATTTGACCCAAATTTGAGTTTAAACAACCCAGCATTGTTTAGAGTGTATACATCTATCTATTTACATTTGAATTATATTCTATCTATCTATCTATCTATCTATCTATCTATCTATCTATCTATCTATCTATCTATCTATCTATCTATCTATCTATCTATCTATCTATCTATCTATCTATCTATCTATCTATCTATCTATCTATCTATCTATCAGCATCATCTTTCTATCTTTTAAAAATCATTAAACATTCAAATGTATGCATTACCGTTAATGTCTATGGCGAGTCACGCAGGCACTGGGCAACTCCGCAGCAGAGCCCGGGATAAAAAAATAGTCAGAATATAAACACTTATTATAAGCGTACCGTAGGGATTCAGGATAAATCAAAAACACGGTTTGGAAAATGGATTCATGATGTACTCGTTCATTTTGAACATAAGTTACGGACTGCAGCAGCTGATACAACGGCGTTCTGTTGCGCGAGCGTCCACTCGCACAAATGCGACCACATACAATTTTAACTCGCACATTCTCAAAAAACGGTCGCATATGCGACCAATTTGGTCGCAGTCTGGAACCCTGGAAGTAAGTAATATTTGTTTGGGTCGGTTGACTATGCCTTTAAGTCCAATGCTGTGTATGATATAGTATAAGCAAGCACATCTGTGCTGCCATGAGCGAGTTTGGAAAGAGCAGTCTGAATTATGAGAACATGAAAGGAGCTATGAGCCCCTAAAGGCAACAGGGATTGACCCCTCACTCCTTCTGGCCAAACATACAACCACAGACATCCACTGAGACTGACCGCTATCTTATCTCCCGCAGCCAACAGTAGCAGAAGATCCATTTCACAACAGGCTAAACACGGCCTCGGGCCTGTACAACTTCAAGATCATTTACAAAAGTGTCAGTTTGACAAAAAGTCAAAAAGTTGACAAAGACTTCTCTATCGAAACGAGCAGGGAACAAGAGAAAGGGAAGGAGGAAAAAAAGGAGGTTGTGAGTTCAAGAGGAAAACCGCAATTCTGGCCCCAACCGAAAGAAGTAAAGTGATGTGGCTAAATGGAAAGTCAAATTACTGAGCTGCGATTTATACCCCCTCGTTCTCCACAGACCAAGAGAAAATGATGATAATTACAATGCTCCGGATATCCCGGGCCCCTGCAGATCTTAAGCTGTGGTTGCCTATCAACCAACGGGTGGGGTGGGGGGTGGGGGTCTGCTGCTATCCCTGGCTCCCCCACAGACTGTTTGAACACACCAGGAGACATGGTTCTGGATCAGGCCAGAAGTATTTAATGCATTAACTACCACTGACCTGAAAAGGGTGCAAAATCATCAAGCAAAAAACGTTCATCGTTTGGGTTTTGAATTCGTCAGCACAAATGAATCAGTCGTTTTGTGATTAACAGTTTTAATTTAGAGTGAAAAAGCAGCTTTTTATTTTGGTGTTCGGATAAACGGGAATAAATCACAGGGCCATTTGTCTCTGCTTTGACATCTGCAGGGCGTATTTCTTTGAGCATAATTTATAATTTGGAAAACTTTCCAATTGGATGGTAAATATTCAACATTTTATACCCACTGAGAACAACTGCAGGATATTGCACTAAGTGTGAAAGAAAAACAATAAAGTTATGCTATGCAGGTCCCAGAGAGACACAGGGTGTTACTTTCCTGTCTTTGCTTTTGTGCCAGGAAACACCCAGGATTTATTAAAAAATAATCATAAAAAGAAATACATGCTCCACACACTTACCAATAACATTCTGCATAATATAAAACTGCAATTCTCAGACAGACTAACATGCTAGTTCAGGGAGAACAGGGAGTGTTGGAATGCAGTTGAGTTGTAACACCTTCAGTTTAACCAATTAGAATTTAGCCAAGATTTCTTTCTTAACCTGCTAGTTTGATCTAAAAAAAGTAAAATTGGATGCCTGACTTGTTGTGAAAATGTTAATGGATGCTAAATAAAGTGTCATCTGAATCAGTTTCTCTTGTTTAATGTGTAACACTTTCCGAAGTGTAGAAAAGTCAGTCAATATATGTTTTTTAATTGTTGTAAGCTCCAATTAAAAAAAGTTTCTATTCCTATTTGTTTCAGAATTTATTTTAAATTAGATTTTTTTTCTATGTTTAAATTAAAAAGTTTACAATGAAAAGAGGGTGGGTGTTTGTAGTTTGAACATGTAGCCTAAATTTGATGTTACTGCGTAACCGGGTAACGTTAGAGGTTATAACAACAGGCACTTTTTGTACTTCACATTAATTGACACAGTTTAGGGATACGTTTTTTAAAGATTTCTAAACTACTTAAATATGTAGCTTAAAAACATGGGCATACTAAATCAAGTTTTAGATACATGGCGCGCAAGAACATCAGTTACAGACCTTAGCAAACAGTGTTACAAGGTTACAACCCTCCCGGGCTCCCCTAATTAAAAAAGTAACTGGAAAGACACTATGTCGGAAAATATGAAAAGTTAAAACTATTTACAGCCATGCATCAGAAATTAAATAAAAAGCGAAACGAACTGTTACAAGTTTACAAGTCTTAAATAGTGCAGAATAACTCACCTTTACGGCCAAAATAAACACACAGAGTTGAAGTGCTGCCATCGCTTCCTTCATCGTCTTCAGGACTTTCCCTCAGTGTTTGGGAAATAAATAATGCAACGAGTCTCTTGTGCTCAAAACACACTAATGTTCATAACGACAAAGTATAAACATAAGACATATAGAGCAGCTGTTGAACGTATCTCGTACTCTCTTCCATATGAACCGTCTTTTTTTCTTCGAGACTTCCACTGAACAGCGCTGTAACAGTAAATACGGATAATCCTCGTAGGAAGCTTTAAAAGTTCACAACATCATCTTTCTTCTGTCTCCGCAGTCTAATCTGCTTGTTAGTGCCGATCCTTCACTCGACTGCTGCTGTGGTCGCGGTCAGCTGTCGACTAAATAGCTTTTACTGAAGGGGGAGAACATAAAACCCCCATATACGCGCGCACACAAAGAGCCTCACTCGCACGAGCTCTGTGATTGGACAGACTGGCGCGTGATGGAGAAAAGTTGATAAGTCAAACTCTTCTGTCTCATATAGTGCTCATTTATTACATGGTCATATTAGATATAGAGATGTTGCACAAATATTTTGAAATATTGTTTTTGCATTTTAAAAAATGTGTTGATATTTTCTGTTCAAATGTGTGTGCCTATTCTGTTTCCCCCATTTTGTTCAGTAGAGGCTTCAGTTAAGACTTTGAGATAAAAACAGACACAACAGACGTTTCAGGTCTGAGGGGGGTTTAAGTAACGTCGTAAAACTCAGTATGGGGTCTCGAGACTTCAGAGAGCAACAAATGGAGACTTCCCTCGCATACAATGATCATAGCGCTTCAAAGAATGACCGAGTAGAAGCGGAGGGAAAGTAGCCTAAAGATATGGTGTTCACAGTTCAGTTAATTCTTCGCCTATTCGTTTCGCCTTTTCCTTTCGTTCCCGATAGGTCTTAATGACTGGACTTAACGGTGAGTAGGCTACTGGGGAACACGTCTGAAACGTTTTTTGGAAGATGTCCTGTCAGTTTACAGAGAATTATCATTCTTGTTTTTTCTATGCTGACAATTTGTTAAAAATAACGTCAATTTTAAGATTTAGATATTAACCCTCAAATAGGCAAATTACCATTCCCATAAACATTTTTTTTTTTACTGCAGGTAAAGTAGGCTAACTGGAATATTCTTTGTCATATATTCATTTATGTTTAAACATAAAAGGGTGATTTTGTCCAACAAAGTGACAGCTTTACTGAGGCCCCATTTTACAATTAGCCTACTTCTGGTGTCTTAAATAAAAGATGATCCCTTTGTCAGAATATGACAGTAAGTACACAGTACTCGGAGGACCTACTGCTTCCAGTGAGATTCTGATGTGCATATGATGGGCTGCGGCTCAATCAGCTCCCTAGGTTGTGAATCAGTATATTGCATAGGCTACACGAATTCGGGGACTGGTGGTAAGGACCCTGACTCACTCACTACACATTGGGACAGTGAAGGCTCTAGGCAATGTCCTCAAATGTACAACTTTCTACTGGTAACAACAGCCGCACAGAAATCTTGCTGACATTAATTGTTTATTTAAAAGAACATTATGATACTTTGATTGTTACATATCCATTTACAACATTTCAGCTATAAATGTTAGCTATATTCACTAGGCTAACTGTCTAGTGATGTATGTTTATGCCGAAATACAACGTTATGTGTAGTGTTGGCTCACACTATTTATGTTTCACTCTTCAGAATTTCCAGTAAGAGAACATGCGAGCATTGATGCTCCCTGGTTTTCACGGTGCATTGTGGGACTTTTTAGGGAGCGAAGGTTTCAGTGCACTGGAAGCATTTTGCGATTGAGACAGCTCTTAAAATAACCGACTGTCTGATCAGTGCCCTGACTGTTGAACTAGGGAGCTGATTGAGACACACCCATGGAAACTATCCCATGAGGCCGCAGGAGAGAAGTCGTGAATGGAAGTGAAGCAATGCAACTGATGCCATAAGTCACGTGTCAATGGCAACATGGGGAATATAGTACGTCGGGATTGCATTCAGACTGCACACTATACAACATATGTTTTGAAAGTTTGCGAAGTATGCGCCTCATCAAATGTAGTAGCTACTTAGTATGCAATTTTGGATCCAGCTGCTGAAAAATAAGGAAGAAACCAGATTATTGTATTACAAACTGCAGTGATCTCACATTTTAATGGAAAATATGGTTAGGCTACCATGGTAATATGCCTAGAAATGGTTCAATGATTGAGTGACAAAACGTAAACAGTTCAGATGTTCATATTTGTCACAAAAAAACAACCCCAAAATTGTCTTACTTAAAGGGTTAGTTCACCCCAACATGATCCCAAAATGTACTCACCCTCAAGTCAGATGTATATGACTTTCTTCTTTCAGCCAAACACAATCTGAGTTATATTAAAACATATCCTGGCTCTTCCAAGTTTTTTAATGGGAGTGAACGGTACCTTAGATTTTGAAGCCCAAAAAAGTGCATCCATCCATCATAAAAGTACCAGGGTGTTAATAAAGGCCTTCTGAAGCGAAGCGATGCGTTTTTGTAAGAAAAATATCCATATTTATAACTTTTTAAACTATAATCACTGGCTTCCGGTAACGGTCGTCTGTGAGTCTAGTTTCGACGGAAGAGTGACCTCTGCCCCTTTAAGAGTGAACTAACCCTTTAAGACCCTTTCACACCGAGGAAAACAACCATAACGGTAACAATAGAGTTAAAGTCCACATCACAGCTAACAGATAACGGTACAGAGGAATGCTATTGTTGGAATCGCTTTCAGAGCGATTTGTTTTGGCATAAAAACATGTGGCGTCATAACTGCAGCGCATGCTTAAAATAAAAACAATGTTATGGTCCTCGGTGGGGACGCTAATATAGTTATTATTATAGTTATATTTAGATTTATCGGGCCAACACCCATGTGGATAATGGTCAACAGACGCTTAGAAGCAGAGAACTGTGAATTACAAGACTATAAACCCTCCAAAGATGCAAAGTCTTTGGCAGCCTGTTACCAGAGTGTGAATTTGTAGATCACAGCAAAGAAATCTTGAAAGATGGAAGATGATCATGGCCTGACAACGCAGAGACAGGATAAGGGGGTGGGGGAGACTGGGAGGCTTTGTGGTTGTTTGCAGGTTGTTGTGGTTCAGGAACTACCCAGACAACAAGTGATTGTCAAGACGTTTTAACCTACACCCCTTCCCCCACCTCTTGTTTTGGGGGTGGAGGGGAGATGCCTGGTTCTACTAAGAGCAAGGTGTCAAGCCCTCCTCCCATTGTTATCCACCCAGATCAGAGCAGAATTGCCACCATAACCAGCACATCCCATCTCCTCTCTGCCCCGCTGCATGTACTGACTGGAAGAGGCGCATTCCATCCTTCCATGCCAGAGTCCTCCCCCCCACCTCCCCTCCCCTGTCGTCCACTCAAACGTACCCCTTGGGGTGTTTATGGGTCAGCCAACAGGATGCTCGGCCCATTGAGAGATCAAAGGATTCCCGGCTCAGATAAATGTGGTGTAACTGTGACCTCTTCAACTCTTTAACACGTCAGGACAGGAGGAGGAGGGAATAAAAGGCTGAGACGTCAGGGAAAAACTGAGACTTGATTTGAAAAAAGAAAAGAACCTTTTTTAGGATCTTAAAGGAGTCAAAACTGAGGAGAAAAAAAATCAATGTAAGATCAATTATGATAAGTATTTCATTTTTATGATTTTTTTGTTGTATTTTTTAAAGTAAAAAATGTCAACTCAAGTCAATTTATTTAGACTAATATATTTAATTAAAAGAAACAATATACATTTACACAAACACATCACTCACTCAAGCAGAAATGGACATGTGTTCAACAGAGAATGGTTGTTTACATCTCTTTTGAAGCCATCATTTGTTCGAACAGACATGAAGCTTAAACGTAATTCAACCAGTTTGACAACATCATAGTCTTTACATAAAAACAATCATGGAGTGATTTAGTCGTAAGCGTTTCGTAAAAACGGGACTTAAACTCTTATGGCTTCAGTTTCTCATCACAAATCAAATTCTATCATTCGATCTTTAAGACTAAACTCAAACAAGACAGACTCTCAAGGCTCTGTGTGTGTGTAGCTGGGAAATACAATGAAAAATAATGCACACTTTCAAAAAACTCCCTTAAGTTACACAATATTACAGTAATCGTTTCAGTGGCAGTGTTTAAACTGAGTGATAGTGATATATTGTATTTAAGGAACAATTCACTGAAAGAAAATGATAATTCTGTCATCATTTATTCACTCTTACGAAGTTCCAAACCTGTATGACTTACTTTCTTTTGTCAAACACAAAAAGAGGATTTTAAAGAGTCCTCTAGTCACTCTCACTCTAGATGACTGAAGCATCAAAAAAAGCCATATAAAAAATTATACAGTAGCTTTGAATGTGGAATTTTAAGTCATCATTCATTACACTCTTCATAATAAAGGCTCCAAAAGGGGATTTTCACAGCAATGCCATAGAGAAATCATTTTTGTTTCCCAAAGAACCTTTCAGTTGAGAGTTAAAAGAACAATTTTTTTCTCGCGAAGAACATTTTAAACATCAAGAACCTATTTGGAATTGAAAGGTCCATGGATGTTAAAGATTCTTCGTGAAACCATCAATGCTTTTGAGTGTAACATGAACAAATTGTTCTTTTGAGTTTGAACTTTTCAGTGAACGATCCAGTTCACAAAGCCTGAAAGATTGGTCCGTAAATCAAACTCACTCATGTGTTCCGGTCACAGCAGTTAACAGCTCACCAGAGGCGAAGATTTTCAGCGATTAACACCTTAAATATTAGTTTGTTGTTAACACAACGCATATTGTACAACTTAATATATAGTGTGCAAGTTGTATGGACAACTTTTATGTCCTATTTGAAGCTTGAAAGACTCAGTCCTCAGTCATTGTCGTTCTAAAAGAGCATTCAGTACATTTTATTCCATGAAGAAAGAAATTCATACGAGTTTAGAACAATACAAATGTGAGTAAATATCAGGAAAAAAAACCCTTTAAACAGTGTGTATAACTGCTGGCCGTTGTGCTCGGTGCTTCCCTTTGTCTCTGCTGACTTTGCTATCCAGTACAGAGCAAAAGATTGAACGCAACCATCCCAGAGAAGCCAGCAAGATGTGTCCGAATACCCATGTGTCTCACAGACACCACTCATACAGCACAGCCTTCAAAGTATTCAGTGCGTCAAGAGAAAAAAACAACAACCCCAAAACATCTAGACAAAAAAATTCCAATGGTAACATAGACAGAATTGTGGCCCCAGCCAACAGACACATTCACAGGGCAATTAAGACTAGCTGGCATATGTTTCACATATTAATAATTACAGTGAAGAACACAGTTGAGGCACTTT